ATCTACTTCCAACGCCTTCCTACTTCATGGTTCTACCTACGTCTTCTGACAGACCGGTGCGGGTTTACGAAGAGGAACGAAAAATCTCGTTGGACCACTATTGCCCAAAGGATTTATGGGATATTGCTGAAGGCTTCCATCAGTTCAACATTGCGAAGTTGCGCGACTTCCCGACTTGAGTCTCGCACTGGCGCCGCACACAATTGGTTTTGCTGTTTGGAACCACCACTCGACGATGTCTTCTTACATTTATACGCACAGCCATGGTGTCGAAAGGAGCTCGCAGTTCCTTAGGTCCTTCCATGCTTGCTCCGCTAGCGATCATCGTGCACCCAGGCTGTTCTGGGGTCAGAGAAGGGAGAGAAGGGTTTTCGTTAGCTATTTGGCGTCCCTTGTGCCAGTAGTTTGATTGCATAGGTCAGAAAGTCGAAGTTACGCACCAGTTTCACGGATGGCGGGCAGCTTTTTCCCGGAAAGGGCATAGGCCTAGGGTTCTCTTTTAGTATGTAAACAATGTCCCCCGTGCCCAACTTGAAGGAGGCCGGCGGATTCTTTCCCTGATAAATATCGAAGTCGAAGGAGGCCGGCGGATTAAAATTTGAGGACGTCTCAGGCGAAACGCTTGTTTTTGAAATCCCGATCGATAAATCACAGGGTGCGGGCCACTTTTTCGTGCGTTGAGGATGTCTCGAGCGAAACGCTTGCTCCGCAGAGTTTGCCGAGGATGTCTCGAGCGAAACGCTTGTTTTGTAGAACTTGAGGGATCTGGGCACCCCAGCACCACCACACCCCAGCACGACCCCACCCCAGCACGACCCCACCCCAGGACGACCAAACCCCAGCACGACCACACCCCAGCATTACCCCACCCCAGCACGACCCCACCCCAGCAAGACCATCACCCAGCACGACCACACCCCAGCACGACCTCACCACAGCACGACCACACCCCAGCACGACCACGCCCCAGCACGACCACGCCCCAGCACGACCACGCCCCAGCACGACCACCCCCCAGCACGACTACCCCCCCAGCACGACCAACCCCCTAGCACGACCACCCCCCAGCACGACCACACCCCAGCACGACCATCACCCAGCACGACCACACCCCAGCACGACCTCACCACAGCACGACCACACCCCAGCACGACCACGCCCCAGCACGACCACGCCCCAGCACGACCACGCCCCAGCACGACCACCCCCCAGCACGAGCCACCCCCCAGCACGACCACCCCCCAGCACGACCACACCCCAGCACGACCACTCCCCAGCACGACCACACCGCCTTGGTTGAGTGGTTGCCTGTCGTCGTGGAATGTTTCGTGGGGTGTCTCGTGGACTGTTTCGCGGGGTGTCTCGTGGAATGTTTCCAGGGAAACGTTGAAAACGGTCGCCCGTGTCTCGTGGAATGTTTCGCGGGGTGTCTCGTGAAAGTGCCCGTCGCCCAATACGGTGTCGTGAAAGCGTTTCCATGCATGCGGTTCTATATCCCTTTCCGGGTTCGTGGGTCGATCATGTTCTTCGGTTCGGTTTTCGGGGTCGTCGGTCTTTATTCTGTATCATGAGATGCCCAGAGTTGTGCAGCAGGTCCACGTCTGGAGGATGTTCATCTTCTTCAAACCGAGGTTCTCGCTGGATCTGTCCCTGGGCTATCTGATCCTCTCCCGTGGCAACCATTATGTCGCAGCTAAATATTACAGCGTGGTAGTTCCTTTGCCAAAACATGGTTTTTGTTTTGTGTCAGCTGCACGCGCATTGTGTTGCGTATTTCCCAGGAGTGGTCCCGCTGTGCCAAAGCATAGTTGTAGGGATTTGTGATGAAGGGGATTTCGGACGGGAGAGTGTATTAAAGAATGTACCTTGTCTTTTATTTAGTCCACCTCCATACTCTACCGCCATCCTTCCTACCTCGTGAATGGTCGGAGCAAGAGGCTGTGGAGGACGAGGGAGGGACACATGAGATGAGGGGAGGTTAAATGTTCAAGGCTTCCAGAGATGCTGATAAGATTGTAGGCCCGCTCAGGGTTTCGAGAAGCAAATACCCAAGCCCACACCATCCGCCGTCTTTATCAAGAAGCAGACCTCTGAAACCCTCCGCAGGGGCACTTATTGCTTTAACACAATTCGTGCTTGCGTAATCCAGAAACGGCACCCCGCTGAGCCCTGCGGACAGCGTAGCAGGGAAAACAACAAACAGGGTGGGAGGAAGACAAAAAGGCGAGAGGAAGGAAGCAGTAGGACGAGGAGAATGACTGTAAGGGAACACACGGAGGACTGGTGGTGGAAAAGGGAGGAGGAGGAGCAGGAGGAGGAGGAGGAGGAGGAGGTAGGGATGCCGATACATAGCAGCAAGAGACGTATGAAGGAGGACGGTATTCACAGTATGGAAGTGTTTGCATTTGGCACCCGCATTTTCCCCGGAAAGGGCTCGAGCCCAGGGTTCTCTTTTACTTGGTTAACCCCCGGTTTCGACGGGAGGTGGGCCGGCGAAATTATTCTGCGATCAATTACGCGCGGGAAGAGGGCCAGCGAAATTATTTTTTAGGATGTCTCGAGCGAAACGCTTGTTTTTCAGAATTTGTTGAGGATGTCTCGAGCGAGACGCTGGTTTTGCAGAGTTGGGGATGTCTCGAGCGAAACGCTTGGTTTCAGAATTTGTTGAGGATGTCTCGAGCGACACGCTGGTTTTGCAGAGCCGACCGCGACACGGAAAAGCGCTCCTCGCGCAGGAATTCTGAGGATGTCTCGCGCGTGCCGCGTCCCGCGCGCGGGTATTTGGATTTCTTGAGATTTTGACAGGATGTCTCGAGCGAAACGCTTGTTTTTCATAATTTGTTGAGGATGTCTCGAGCGAAACGCTGGTTTTGCAGAGTTGGGGGATGTCTCGAGCGAAACGCTTGCTTTTCAGAATTTGTTGAGGATGTCTCGAGCGAAACGCTGGTTTTGCAGAGTTGGGGTATCTAACATGGCGTCGGGCCCAACGCCGAATTATGAGGAAAAGTGATGGCTTCTTGCTCTGAACAGGGGGGTGCGCTTTGGGGGCCTCTCCAGGGAAGACGTTGTGAGGATGTCTCGAGCGGGAGCGCGAATTCAGCGTATCCAAGTCACGCAGAGGGGTATCTAACATGGCTGTCCCGAGCTGGAACCACGTGTTTTTTCATGCTCAGGCCACCCAGGGAGATCTCTAACATGATTGTCCCGAGCTGGAACCACGTGTTTTACGTGTCCAGGCCACCCAGGGGGTATCTCTCATGGTTGTCCCGAGCTGGCACCGTGCTTTTACGTGTCCAGGCCACCAACACGACGCTTGTCCCCAGCACGTTCTGTAGCGCGTCCCCTTGGCACGTCTCGCGGTGCGTCCTCGTGGCACGTCCCCTGGCACGTCGCCTGGCGCGTCCCTTGGAACGTTCCGCGGCGCGTCTTCCTGGCAGAATTCCTTGTCAATTAGCTCTGCGGCAGCTACTTCGTGGACTATGTGCTCAGGCAGCTCGAGCTTAAGATCCAGATCAGTTCGGTCAGGACTCGGATGCAACGGAGGACTTGATCCAGAACGCTGTAGAGCACAATCGCGGCATGGTACATCGCAGTTCAGCACGGCGCAGCACAGCACAGCCCTCGGCACATTACATCAAGATCGGTACACTCACTCAGCATTGCAACTTGGCACGTTCTTTGGCACGTTCCGTGGCGCGTCCTGTGGCGAGTCCCCCTGGCACGTCGCGCGGCGCGTCCCCTGGCACGTCCCGTGGCACGTCCATAATGCATTGGCACGTTCCGTAGCGCGTCCCCTTGGCACGTCCCGCGGTGCGTCCCCATGGCACGTCCCCTGGCACGTCGCCTGGCGCGTCCCTTGGAACTTTCGGCGGCGCGTCTTCCTAGCATGCCCCCCGTGAATTAGCTCTGGGGCAGCTACTATGTGCTCAGGCAGCTCGAGCTTAAGATCCAGATCAGTTCGGTTAGGACTCGGATGCAAAGGAGGACTCGATCCACAACGCTATAGAGCAAAATCGTCACGTGGCACATCGCAGTTCAGCACGGCGCAGCACAGCACAGCCCGCGGCACGGTACATCAAGATCGACACACTCACTCAGCATTGCAATTTGGCACGTTTTTTGGCACGTTCCGTGGCGCGTCCTGTGGCGAGTCCCCTTGGCACGTCGCGCGGCGCGTCCCCTGGCACGTCCCGTGGCACGTCCATTGGCACGTTCCGTAGCGCGTCCCCTTGGCACGTCCCGCGGTGCGTCCCCGTGGCACGTCCCCTGACACCTCGCTTGGTGCGTCTCTTGGCACGTCCCATGGCACGTCCATTGGCACATTCCGTAGCGCGTCCCCTTGGCACGTCCCGCGGTGCGACCCCATGGCACGTCCCCTGGCACGTCGCCTGGCGCGTCCCTTGGGACGTTCTGCGGCGCGTCCTCCTGGCATGTTCCCTTGTCAATCAGCTCTGGGGCAGCTACTAGTTATGTGCTTAGGCAGCTCGAGCTTAAGATCCAGATCAGTTCGGTCAGGACTCGGATGCAAAGGAGGACTCGATCCACAACGCTATAGAGCACACTCGTGGCATGGCACATCGCAATTCAGCACGGCACAGCACAGCACAGCCCTCGGCACGGTACATCAAGGTCGATACACTAAGCATTGCATTTGCCCGTCGCCCAATCAGGTATCTTTGAAACGTTGCCATGTCTTACATTTCTATATTCCTTTCCGGGTTCGTGGGTCGATCATGTTGTTTAGCGAGATTTCTTCCACGCGTTCTCAGATACCTAAATTGTGGGCTTTCCTTTGCAGGCTCTACCAGCACGACTACGACTACTACCACCGCGATCACTCTGCCTCCGGTGTTCACTACACCTCCGCCGGACGTGCCAACGACGACCACGTCCAAGACGACAACGACCAAGAGGACACTGCCACCGCCCCCACCACCGCCGCCACCCCCGCCCCCGCCGCCGCCACCTCCGCCCCCGCCCCCGCCTCCACCTACAACCACTCAGAAGAAGGTCGACTGCGCTGAGGGCGACCCGCAGTCATGGGATGTCCCGAAGAAGGTTATCCTTTATGCTTTCGCCACATCCGCCTGCGCCCCTGTTTATGCAAATGGCACGTTCCTAACACTTGCGATATGACAGATAACTCGCATGCATGCGAGTCGGAATGTATATTCTTCAACTTTTAATTTTCCTTATCCTCCTTATCTCACAGGGTATTCTAAGGCAGTCCTCGAATACTCATCCTCTCGGGGCCAGCTTGGATTCTCTTTGGACTCTCGCTCTCTTTGGCCTTGTGCGGAAGCTCTTTTGCCATGTGTGGGGCCATGTCGGCCGTTCGTCATCCCTTTCTCCTGCTCCTCCTGTGGGGTGAAGCAAGGAGGTCTTGGCCATCGTATGATGCAACGTTGGAATATCTATCAGTTGGCGACTGGCGGAAACATCATTCCAACTTCAGCGCGGATGGTGGTCAGACACGGTTGCTGGATCCCGCGTTAATTGAAGTTTGTTTGGTTATGCGCCCTTGAGCCCCAGCGTGGACTCGCGCGGACGAGACGGCCGATCGACAGTCCCTTATGATGCGTGCTTTCAAGCTTTGCTTCTGGAATGCTGGTGCGTTATCCGGGCCGCTCTGTGGGCAAGTTAGGTGGTTGCTGGAGGGTTTTGGGAGCTAGATCTTAGTTGCTTGTTAATTCCCCACAAGGTGCTTACACTTAGGGGGTCTCATTTCTCTTCGAAGGAACTGGACCTGGCTGGCGGTGTTGCGGCTCCGTGCTCGCCGTCGTTGCCACTTCGCCGCCCTGTCGCCGTTTGTCGTCTGGGCCTTGCTGGCGGTCTGACGGCTCCGCGCTCGCCGTCGTCGCCTCGTCGCCGGGCCTGGCTGGCTGTCGGGCGGCTCCATGCTCGTCGTCGTCGCCCCGTCGCCGCCTAGATTGCACAACAGATGTTCTCCTTTTAAAAAAGAAATAGGGTCTACCACCTTCCCCCCCGGCCTTATCGACTCCCCGTGATCTTATGCAAAACACACACGGTTCTAACCCAGTGTCCGTCTTACTTGTGAATTCATACTATCCCAGCCAGCTGGTATCGCCCCCCCTTGCCATCTTCTGCAACAAATACTATGCGCGCACCCGTCAGTAATCCTTTTTGCAAAACATGAAACGAAGTGCACGTGCGCGTCATCGCGCGCGCATGCCGAAATCTCTCAAAAACCATAGTCTTCGGAAGGATTCCCAAATCGAGTGTCCAAACAACTGTTTAAAACATACAGGGTTTCGCAACACGGATTTTCAATAAAAGCGTGCGCGCGCGCTCTTGCGAATCTTTGCGAAAACCAGCTGCTTTACAACATTTTCATAACCTGCTACCAAACGTGCTTGTTGCCCGCGTATGTCGAAATTGTTCGAACGCCCTTGCGCGCGTGTTGGGGTGGAACGACCCGTGGCAAGTAACACCATACAAGCCGTTTTCGCGCGTCTGCCGCGCGCATTTCGAATTCCTCCCAGAACCTCCATCACCGACGCGAAGACGCCGTCATCGTCGTCGGCGTGATCAGCATCGGTGCCGTCACTGGCTGCCCCGTCGTTGCTTTCAGCAGTGTCGCCAGCATCGCTACGATCATCGTCGTGTCTACCATTGTCGACGTTGCCATGATGCCGCGCCCGCCCAACTCGCCAACCTGCACTGAAGTGCAGGCCAGGAGGTGCCGAGCGGTCAGCGCCACCGCGTTCGCGCCGGCCGCGCAAAATTAGCTGGCCGCTGCGCGCGCGAGCATCCACGGGCTAGCGCGGCCGCAGAGACGCACCAGCCAACACCCAGCACTCATCGCAAGCGTTTCCGCTTGGGTTTTGCGAACCAAGTTGCGGGTGGGTGGGTGGGATGCTTGCGCGGGCAGAGGAGTTGATAGCTTCAACTTCGGCAAATGAATTGCATCACGTAGGTTGCGCAGCTGCGTGCACCACATCTGTTACATTTGCATGGACTGCGCCATGTCAATTGCACTACATATATTCCATCTATTGCACAACGTGGCTTGCAGCACGCAGGTTGCACCACGTCGATTGATCCACATTGGTTGCGCCACGTATATTGCACCACGCAGATTGCACCGCACACACGCGCACGTCGCACCACATATATTGCACCACCCGTACTGTGCCACAAATATTGCACCACACAGACTTCATCACGTCGATTGCGCCACATTGCGCAACACATGTTGCACAACACGTACCGCATCACAAACATTGCATTTCGCAGACTGCACTATATATATTGCCCCACAACGGCTACACAACATATATTGCATAATGCAGTGCGCATACCATATATTGCAGCAGCATCTACTGCACAACCTATACTGCAACATGCCGATTGCACCACATGGGTTGGTTCACCCAGATTGCACAACGGGTAGACTCCTAGAAACACACTGTTTGGGCCCACGCTGTTCAAAACATATTTTTTCCGTTTGGCACGCGGATGATCGCACACGCCTGTTGCACAACGAGGGTGCAAGCTGACATGCTGCTTGCAAGCTGGGAGGGGCTGCCCCACGACGCCGCCGCCGCCCCCGCCGCCGCCCCCACCGCCGCCCCCGCCGCCCCCACCGCCGCCGCCGCCCCCGCCACCCCGTACGCCGGTGGCGCCTCCCCCGCCACCTCCGGCGCCCGTGGCGCCGCCTCCGCCGCCTCCACCCCCACCCCAGCCGGTTTCGGAACCGTATGACTGCGCCGCGGGCTACTCGAATTGGGAGGCGGGCTGGTCCGTACCGAAGAAAGTGTGGTGTTGCGAGAACAAGCAGATGGGTTGCACGACGTCGCTGGTTCCGCAGCAGGCGCCGGGAATCAATCTGGACTTGCAGCCTTGACTAGACGGGTTCCGTTTGAGCGGCTTTGGTTTTCGACGTTTCTTTTCCATGAGTTTCAATTGGAGGTTTTTTCCCTACACTTGACATCTAGACATTGACACCATATTTCCAGTGGCGCCGATGATTTCCCAGGGGCAAGTATCTGAGCTTCAAACTCCACGTTAAGTGCCAGGGGAATTCGTACACCACTGTCTTGTCCGCTGGAAATTGTCGGCGTCTTAGGCAGGCGCAGCTTCTGGATGTTTTGTTTGGGGGCGTCCTTCCCGGCCCCGCCCTCTTGATGAGTTGTCATATCTGATCCCTTGTTCAACCATACCTATGTTCTGGATCGGCAAGTACAAGTAATGTCGGAGGTGGGTAAACCTCCTACTCTGACACGTCGATTAAAGAATTTGCCATTTTCGGTTCGCGAAAGGGCGTCGCGGCCGTCATTTTTGCGGGTCCAGGTCCGTCGGTTTCTGTCCCAGGCCGTTTTCGTTAAGGGGAGGTTTATTGAAGGGAGGTTTGTCCACCGCCGATAATGAGGGACCTGGGTTGTTTTGCTGGGGCTGCAGGGCCTGATTGTCAGTGTAAATCTGCCCGTCGCCGGCGCCGCTTTTGTTCCTGGAAAGGGCGCCGGCCCAGGGTTCTCTTCTAGTAGGTAAACCTGTCCCCGGTGCCTCAACTGAGGTGGGCCGGCGGATTCTTTCCCTGATAGATATTGAGGTCGAGGTGGGCCGGCGGATTGAATTGTGAGGATGTCTCAGGCGAAACGCTTGTTTTTGAAATCCCAATCGATAAATCACAGGGTGCGGGCCACTCTTTCGTGTGCTGAGGATTGTCTCGAGCGAAACGCTTGCTCCGCAGAGCTACCGAGGATGTCTCGAGCGAATCGCTTGCTTTGTAGAACTTGAGGGATCTGGGCACCCCAGCACGACCCCACCCCAGCACGACCAAGCCCCAGCACGACCACACCCCAGCATTACCCCACCCCAGCACGACCCCACCCCAGCAAGACCATCAAACAGCACGACCACACCCCAGCACGACCTCACCACAGCACGACCACACCCCAGCACGACCACGCCCCAGCACGACCACGCCCCAGCACGACCACGCCCCAGCACGACCACCCCCCAGCACGCCTACCCCCCCAGCACGACCACCCCCCAGAATGACCACCCCCCAACACGACCACACCCCAGCACGACCACTCCCCAGCACGGCCACACCGCCTTGGTTGAGTGGTTGCCTGTCGTCGTGGAATGTTTCGTGGGGTGTCGTGTGTGTGTGTGTCGTGTGTCGTGTGTCGTGTGTCGTGTGTCGTGTGTCGTGTGTCGTGTGTCGTGTGTCGTGTGTCGTGTGTGTGTGTGTGTGTGTGTGTGTGTGTGTGTGTGTGTGTGTGTGTGCGCGCGTCGCGCGTGTGTGTGTGTGTGTGTGTCGTGTGTGTCGGGTGTGTGTGTGTGTGTTGTGCGTCGCGGGTGTGGTTCGCGCGCGTCGTTGGTGGATGGCGTGTGGGTTGCGGGATGGGCTCGCGGGCAGTTCGTGGGCCAGGTCGCGTACGGTTCGCGGGCTGTGTCACGGGGCGGAGGGCGCCGACAACAAGAGCAACAGCAACAAGAGGAACATCAACGACAGTCCACATCGCGGAATTCCTTGTCAGCAACGCACCCAGGACGTTGTAAGATCGCTCGGGCCCCTCGCGTTGAGTCATTTATCAGGGTTCATTCGCGTCTGAGTTGCGGCTGAGTGCTGTCAACCATGGGGGTGACATGGTGTTTGAATTTCGATGGCCGCTAGAGAGTTGATCGATGCTAGGCGAGTGCCCCCTCATTAGATGCACAATTGCATGCCTATCTGGTTGCCTGCTTGTTTGCGTGCTGGGAGCGTGCAAAGAGCCAAGCCCAGAGGCAAACGCGCAAGCCTGCACGCGCGCACTTGTAAAGGAATTTGTTAGCTGCAGATGAGGCTGACCGCGTGAGGGGCAAATGGGCGACCTGGTGAGGAATGCCAGCGATATTGCCGCTCTAAGTCCATATCCATCCGAGCACAAGCTGCATGGAGCTTGGGTCCACTGGTGCACAGTGCGAGCATGCGCACTCTCACGTGCACAAGTGAGTCTAGTGTTCTGTCCACGTCTTGGGGTGGAGCCCTCCAGAGTGTCGCTCAGCTCAAAGAGTTTCTCGGCCACTCGCCGGGGCACGAAAGCAATGTCGCGTTCCGGGTTTCTCGGCTGCACATGAGAGCGTGACCTTTCGTCGTGATTTTTTGTGCGGGCCCACGGGGGTCCCCCGATCGCCGAGTGCCGCGCCACACCCACCCACCCACCCACCCCTCTCCCCCCCGCCCTGCCGCCCCCCTGAAGCTGTGCACCAGACGTCATGCAGCACCCCACCCGCCCCCCCCTGAAGCTGTCTCGAGCCGGGGCCAGGAAGCACCGCCGGGAGTGCCCTCCCTGGCGCCTCGTGCTGGTGGTGGTGGCACCGTTCGTCCTCGTTCCGCATGTTAGCCCCTGTTCAGAATGTTATGGCCCCAGGATGATGGAGGGTCGTGGGGGTAGCAGCGCTCCAGGCGGGGCGGCAGATTGTTCTTCCACCCCCCGCTCGGTAGTGTAGTCCCCAGCCAGCGGCGCCCGTGGGCTCCTCAGGCGCAGCCGAAGAGACACCGCCCTCCCCTGTTCAACCAGTGGCGAGGCGGCCTCGCTTGCCTATAGGCCCACCAAGCACTGTTCGAAGAGCCCTCTGTGCTTTGCACGAAACGTCGTCTTGCATGAATGCAGCATGTTCCATGCCACGAGAGCGTTGTGTTTCTCTATTCTACAATTCCTTTGCTCTAAGAACGAACGGGTCGTGGTAGGCCTACAGGCATGCCGGAACGGTCGGGAGAACGCATCTTCTCTGCCACGTGCGCATGGCCGGTTTGGGGGGCAGGAGTGCCAGAGACAGAGAGGGAGAGAGAACCAACAACGGAGAAAACATGTCGGAACGGTCGGTCTTGGTTGAGTTTGTTCATATGTTTGGCCTGTGCCGTGGGGTAGGGCTGGGCCCTTCTCCAGCGGGGCGGCATGGGAGCGCCGCGCTGGCCGCGCGGCGGGCGGGGCGAGGAGCCAGGTGGCGCGGCTCGAGCGCGAGGGCGCATCGCGAGGGACCATCACAGAAGCCCAAGCCGAGGCTCGAGCGCGAGGGACCATCGCCGAAGCCCCAGCCTGGCGGCCCTTTTGGGTCCTCGGCCTCGTCGCCCTGTGAGCAGGGCTTCTCCTCCTCCTCCTCCTCCTCAAGTCGACTCCTCCTCTTCCTCCTCCCGCTTCGCCTCCTCTCCTCGTCATCGCCCCCTGTTACCGTTCCTGGAAGTGTCAAGAGGGCACACTCCTCGGTCTGGTCTCCCTCCTTTGGTTCCTCCTCGCCCTGGTCAAGGATGACCCCCCGCTGCGCCCCCCGAAGGTGTTGGTGCCCGGCCCGGCCGCCTCGACGTCCGAGCCGTACGATTGTGCCGCTGGGTTTGGCAATTGGAAGGCTGGGTGGTCGGACGACAAGAAGGCCGCTCTGGGTCGAAGGGGGGGAAGAGAAGGAAGGGGGAGAAGCATAAACAGGAACCGGCTATCACAGGTAGTGGTTGGAAGGAAGGGGGAGGCGAAGGGGGGTAGGGGTGGTGGTGGTGGTGGTGGTGGTGGTGGTGGTGGTGGTGGTGGTGGTGGTGGTGGTGGTGGTGGTGGTGGTGGTTGTGGTCATGGCATAGGATAGCCGAGCCACGAGCAGAGCAATATGCACCCCGACGACACCGCTTGCGATCCGCACCGCAGCGCGGATTTGGGACAGGGTCCACCCTGTGAGGTTTGGTGCTCAGCATACCGTTGAGCAGTGCTGCGGCCTTCCCCCGAGCACAGCCCCGCCGGGAACCAGCAGCGAACCTCTTCGGGCTTGCACAAGTGGGCAGCAGCCCCCCTCCCCAGAGCAGCAGCCGAAGGAGGATGTGCAAGAAAGACATTTGGCCCCAGCCATGGGGGTAGCTGATGGGTACATCGTGGGAGGTCCGAAGTGAAGTAGTGGCCCCAAGCCTGTTTGAGGGAATCCTTGGAGTTGGCTGCTCGCCACGGGGGAACGGGAGAGGGGGGGGGCCTTCCACGAAAGTGGGGGCCTCTTAGGAGCCCTCCCGCCTTCCAGGAAGCGTCTTGCGAAGGATCAGAGTTTTACGAGCGCGGGAGGGTTCATAAGAGCTCGGATGCCGTCCCCTCCGCCCTTCCCCCCCCCCCTCCCCCGAGAAGGACCGAGCTCCCCGTCGCTCCTCCTCCACCTTCTCATCCTCCATCCCTTCGGAAGGCGTGGTGCTGCCCCAACAAGGGAGTGGGCTGTGCGGAGACGACGTCGAAGCCCTTCGACTGCCAGGCGGGGTACTCCAACTGGCGAGCTGGATGGTCGGCCGACAAGAAGGTGCCCTGAGCTTCAAAGACCAGCCACGTGCAAACGGGGGTGGGGCGAGGGAGGGGAGGGCTTCTTATAAGCACCCGTGCTTCTTAGAAGCCCTTCCCCTCCCTTCACCCCCTTGTGCGCGCCGCCAAAACGAGACGCGTGCAGCTCTTCGTGGGTGGAAGACACGTGTCCGTATCCTTCCTCCTTTTCTTCCCGGCGCCATTGCGGACTGGCCTCCATCGGCGAGCAGGTGGCACTCAGGCCACGATAGCAGTGGCGTCCGCTCTGGCCATCTGCCCCCCCCCCCTCAAGCGAAACGCGATGGGGGGCGGCCGCACAGGCCCCTCACGCTCTGCGACCACCGATCGCCGACCGAAGTACGGGCGCACGGCGGCCCACAGAGAGCGGGGTGTGCCCGCAGACTCCCGAACGACCTCCCGTGTATCCGCATGCACGGCCTCGCGGTCCGGACTTCTCAGCCGCGACCCCGATCATGGCCCCAGAAGCCAGGATCGGACATGGAAACCATGACATCGCCAAGGCCAGCGGGAGTCGGCGAACAACAGGAGAACGTTCCAACCCACTGCTGCAGTTCTGAAAGCCGTGCCACCGTGCTGGTTTATCAGAGTCGTGATTTCTTCGCAACGCGGATCCCTGGAGGTCGGGACCCTTTCTCACGGGCGGGTTTCTATGTGCGCTGTCATCGGTTTTGGCATTTTGGCTCAAGGCCTACAAAGCATCTACCGCTGTTCCTGCTGCCGCAGCTCGAAGTTTCGGTGAGGCCTTGGCTTCGTTTGCTCGTCCGGCCTGCGTTTTCCCGAATGATTGCCGTCGTGATTCTCCTGGCGCGTGGCTGGTGCTAGATGCCAGGTTGGCTTTTCGTAGGAGGTCTTGTAAGGCAAATTCATTTGCCTTCTGCATCTCCAGGAGGACGCGGCGGACTCGCTGTGGGTGTCGCCGCGGACGCTGTCATTTCGACGCAAGGAGCTCCCTTGCCCTACAGCGGCCTCTGTCGGTCTCGGGCGCTATTTCCTGGCGGTCGTCGTGCCAAGTTTTCCCGCGCGCATTCCGAACTCGCTCTGCGCCTGGCTGGCTGGCTCGCCTTTCTGGCTTCGCTGCGGATCGCCGCGGCGTACGCGCGTCCTGCGGGAAGTGGGCCCTGGATGTTTTTGTTCCGCTTTTGGATCTCCAAGTCTTCCGCGTGCCCCGTGGCAGCCGAAAAACGACCGAGCTGGTCCTAGGAGGAACTCTTGTGGTCCAGGGTCCAGGGCCGGCTTTCTTCAGGGCCCGATTCGTCGGGGCGCAAGAGACGGGGGTTAACGCAAACAGGGGTCAGCCTGAGCACCCGATCTAGCAGGATCCTGCTGGGCCACGGGCGCATTGACCCAGGCTTGGGCGCAGGATCCTCCGCATGGACCCGGGCTCGAGTGCAGGACCTTGCAGGATTCTGCAAGGCGTGACTGACCTGGGTCTGGATTGACCCGGTTCAGAAAACCCCCGACTTCCATCGTTCCTCCTCGTCCTCCTTGCTTCCCTTGCCCCTCTTCTCTTCTCGCCAGTGCTTTTTTTACTTCTGGGATGTTGCTGTACTTTAAGCCACTGGTCTCTGCTGCGGATCGACACGGAGTGCACGGGTTACTCGATTGGTGTTTCGGTCGTCCCCTCCCTCATGCCCCTCTTTCTTCTCCCAAAACATTGCGCTGGAAACAAAGAAACGACTTCCATCGTGGCGACGGGAGTTGCGCTCGACTGCGAAACAGGGACACAGCACGGCGGCGAGGAGGGCTACGGTAACGCTGCTGCGCCTGTCGCCTGCACGGTGGCGGCCGGGCGTCGGTTCGAATCGCCCGCGCCGCCGTAGTGCGTTTCCGTCTGGCCGGCGCCCCCCGCGATTCGCCCGAGCATTACCAGCCTGGAACATATCCCTATTCCTATGTTTGACATCACCTCACCTCGATGCCGATCTTAAGGATCCCCTCAGTTTTGAGGGCTTATCCCTAAGATTGTCCTCGCTTTTTGCTCGCCCATCTTATGGATAGGGATACGTTCGAGGCTGGTTAGAGCAGGGGAACAGTTTTTTTGATTGCGCGCTTGGCTTGCACGTGGTCTGTACGTATCGGCCCTCCTCTCAGGTGTGGTGCTGCCAGAACGAGCAGATGGGGTGCGAGTAGCGGGGCGCAGGCAGCATCTGAGCGGCCGCCGACCATCCCCACGCACAACGATTTTGGCCAGTCCAAAGATCGGTGCGCACGCCTCTTCCTGGCTGCGCCGCGAGGGAACCGCCCGTTGACCCTGCGCCCGGGACGGTCTCGCCCACGCCCTGGGGGGAGACGGCGGATGGCCGGAGGAAATTCTGGGGGCGGTGGGCCCGAGGAAGCTGGTTCGCGTTGGTTACGGACGTCGGTTCGTGTCGTGTCGACGCGACGCTCAAGCTCGAATGCCGTTGGTGGCCCAAGATCGGCCGACATCAGAAGATCCGCCCTGGCGGGGAGCCGCGGTCCTTCAAGGCGTGGCGATCCGCGCGGTGAAGGGGGCAGACGCCGACGATGCGACCCGATCTTGCCGTATGCGCTTTGTTCGGTCCTGGGTCCAAGATGATCTCTGTCGCGATCTGTGCGCGTGTGGGGGGACCATCTGACGATGAAGCTGGTTCCGGGTTTCGGGTTAGGGGCCACGTTCGAGGTTTTGGTTTGAAAGTGTTTGTTTTTTTCCTCTCGGTTCCCGGGCGTTGTGCTCGGGCCTTGGGATCGTCAGAAACATCACATGGGCCCCAGAGTCGGGGACCGAGTCGAAACACAACGAATCGCATAAACATAAACAGTCGGAGCTCCGCTGCAGATTTCTTGGATCAGCGCTGGCCCCTGCCCCTGGCCCGTTCCGCGCTCCAGGGAAGGGGGGGTCCCGCGCCGATCCAAAAAGTCCGCGCGGGCTCCGACAATTCCCGTTTCCGCCTTTGTTTCCTTATGAATTGGAGCGGATGTTCAGCCCCTCCACACCCAGTGAAGTCCCGGCGATGCGAGACGGCGTGCCGCTTCTCCCGCAGGAGCTTCTGGCTGAGCCGACTGCACACTTTGATGCCACGATTGGCCCCAACCAGTTCGAACTCCACGGCGGCCTCCCAGTCTGGCGTCCCCCGGGAGGGGGGGCCGCGGTGCAGGTTCGCGCGCCTCGCTTCTCGTGCAGCCCCGCGCTGCCATGCCCGCTTCTCGAGAGGGCTTGGCCTCCTCCGCCGCTCCTCAGAGGAGGAAGAGGTACCGTTAGCATTGATAGTCAGGACGATCGCGATCTACCAACGGTATCCCTGCCTCCCTGCCTCCTTCGGTCATGTTCGGCCCATGCTCAACCACGTTCGATGGCCTGCCCCGTTCGAAGAGCTTCGGCATTGGCGTCCAGCGCCCTTGCATCATTCTTGCGCACCCTTGCTACAGTCTCAGCTGTACCGACACCGCTACCCCTGCCTCGTTTTCGCTGTTGGGGGTCTCCTGGGAGTCCCTCGGTGCCACCGCTGGAGTCGCTTCCAAAGCCTGGTCAGAGCGCACCCCAGGGGAGGTCCTGGGAGTAGCGATATTGTAGTGGCCTTCGGCCAGTGCCGCCGATCCGGGTCGCTCGGGGTTATTCTCCAGACGCAGAAATTATGGGCGCACACTCAAACGCACACACACAGTCAGACCACTTAACCTGCGCCGCAGACATGCGCACACAGCATCACCCACACACACATACTAGTTGGGAAACGCACGTGTGCGCACGCCGAGCGCATACACATACTACGCGGACATTTCACGCACGTACACGACCAAATGCACATACGGCAGTCACACATACAGAGACACAATAGGGTCATCCCAGACACTAGCACGCACAGAAAGTCGCAGACACGCACCACGCACACACACTCGCACAGAAGCACACACCTGAACTCGCCTGGGCGTCGCGTGTGATGGGGTTGGTGGGGGCTGTGTGCGAAGCGCAAGTCTGTTCCGACAGGCCAGACCGGCGTCGCGGGGTCGCGCGCCGAAAGTCCGGGACGAAACGTAACCAGCAACTGGGGACCATTTGGAACAGCACTTCCTTTGCCTTTATCTGCCCTCCATGCGTCAGAGCTTCGGGCCGAAAGTCCGGGACGAAACACGCTAGGCACACCCCCCCTTTCATTTTTAGAGAGGTTCGTCGACCTTTTCATTGTCGTTCTTCCATCTTCCTATCCTTCCTCCCATTGTCCTTTTCTCGCCTTAGTGAGAGGGTCATCATTGGGAGTGCGGAGCCCTCGGGAATGTGATGGTCGGATGTATATTTGTGATAACGATGATGGTGATGAGAGGCTGTGGTGCAAAGCAATAGGATGTATATGATGTCCGTTGCCATGTGGATCAAAGCCGCTCAGGCGAGGCTGAAGCGGGAACTGTCACACTTATCGCGTGCTGCCCTGCAGCATCTTAACGGGAACGGTCGGAGTGACGCCTGAGGAGGCGTTCGCGACGCCGAGAATACTCATTCGAGTGTGTAGCGTGGTATGCCGCGCTTTGGACGCGCTTGCGCGCCAAGGTCTCCTACGCACGATTGTGTCGAGTTGACTGCTTCGGCGACGCGAAAACGTTTCATGACAGATCCGTTGGACAGCCATTGCGAGAGAGTCGCTCAGGGGCAGCGTCTTGTCGAGGAATTGCGACCGATGGAGCCAGCGTTGCGACTGTGTGATGTTACGACTTCGATCGGGGACGGGTTGTGTTTCGTTCACGCGGCTCTTCAACAGCTTTGTATGGAATCTGTGGAATTGGCGTGGAAAGTGGTTGTCATCCTTTTGCACGGTATGGTGCAAAACAGAGACGAGTGGAAGATGCATCTAGAAGACGGCTTCAACAACGAGCGTATGGATGCGTTACGAGATTCCGGGCTGGCGCAAGCGATCGAGCGCCGACGCTTAAACGCGACCGACGCTGCATCCTTTGCATACGTTCTTGATCGTTGTTGCGGCGTCGCAGGGAGGGACTTTGGATGTCCTCGGAGGTACTGCGATCATATTTTCATTCAAGCCTTTTTGGATTGGTGCGGCGGTAGAGGGATGATCCTGAACATGGACCGCTCTGTGACGAGGCTTTCTGGGAGAACGGCGGAGACGTGCATGAGTTTCGAGTTCAAGATGGTGCATTACAAAGACAGCCCAGAACATTTTAACGCAATCATCGACAGAGGTGCCGAGGCAAACGGCGCTGTGCAGCTGATGCGGGAACGCGTTTGGAGACTGATATCGGAGTCTTGCGGTTGCGCTTATTGGGACCCACGATGCATTGATCCCACGTTAATTGCTGAAGAGATACTTCCGCCGGAAGGAAGCGACGTCGGCGAGGAGTCGGGGGGCGCGGGTGCCGGATCGGAGAGCGACGTCGGGTCGGACGCAGACGTTGGCAACAATCATTCCGATCGCGAGGAAATTGGCCTGCCGCAATCGTTTGTGCAGTCGGCTGGAGCTTCGTCAGGTCGCGGAAAAAGCTGTGGACCAGTTGTGCCACGGGCGTTGCCGTCAATGTTGTCTCCGCATCCTCGAGCGCAACAGGAACGTCGATTCGAGGAAATTGCCAGGGAGTGGCATTCGTGGGTAGTCGTGCCAGAGACGTTGGGGGGTGAGGATATGACCGTCGAAATGCTGCAGAGCGGCGTCCAGCTTCCGAGAAAACATTGTTTCTGGAAGAATTGCGCGTGGGTCGGGGAGTCAAACACGGAAAGGTGGGAGCATGTGAGAGCCGAGCATTGGAGCCCCGTTCTGGCAGAGGCTGCGTCTTACTACCATTGCGACCTACACGAGTGGCACCGATTGGAGACAGTATTAAATCAGGTCGCAAGCGTGTTGACGCGCAGGGGCGCGCCTGTATGCAACGCGGCGCTGGACAGACGCAGTCTGCGAAACCTATGGGATGCTTTGGAGCCCGTAGACAGCGTGCAGAGCGTCGTGTGTTTCAGTTGCGCCTGCTCGCACCCGTTAGTGGCTTCATTGCGGAACGGGTTCGTGAAATACGAGCCAGCGTTCACGGGGAAGAGCAAATTTCTGGGGCTGACCAAGGCGCAGACGGAGGATTTTTTTGGGAGGACAACGTATTTGGATAAGTATGGGAGTCGCGGGGTAAGTGGACGTCGTACTGACTTGCGAGAGAGTCCGTGGAAAGACGAGCTAGAGGCTTGGGAAGTGGGGGTCTGGTTGGGTGGGCAGTTTAAGTGTTTGATCGGGTGCCGGCAAGACGTGACGTGCAATGATCACAGAGCACGGCGGCCACAGGATTTGTGTTCGCAGTGCCAGGTCCCGCTTTGCAGCGTGTGTTCCAGTGCATTGGCGGAAGACCCGCCGCAGCAACCATGTATAGCTCTGACGAACGACATGTGGACCGGGTTCAGCAGTGCTATCATTTACGAGAGGGAAGTTACTTATCTGGAACTTTTGTGTGCGTCGCCGTGTTGTTTGGGGCTGATCTGTTTCATTCTCCAAGACGTGCAAGAACGGTCTCAGAGAGAGGGCCAGGGTCCCCCCGCGAAGAAACCAATGTTCATGCAACCGGCGTTTCAGCAGACGCAGCGCACAGCGGCGAGAGGGAACATATCCATGTGGCCGATGCCTTTGGCAGACGTGTTGGAGGAACTGAAAAGGCTGGAAGCAGAAGGGGTGGATTTGCCACGGTCGGGGGAGGATGTGGGCAAGGTTGTTCGTATTCTATTGAAATCGTCAGGCCCGTTGCCAGCGTCTGTGATTGCAAATGCTACTGTGCGTCGTGATGTCGTTGTGGAGTTGATGCAGGACGCGCGCGGGCGCGGGCACCCGTCTTTCGCGAGTCTGGACATGCACGTCGTCGAAGAAAAAGCGCGAGCACGTCTGCCAGAGTCAGGGGTGATGACAGAGCTCGTTACGCAACTCGGGCACGATGACGGCCTGGACAAGGTGATGGCGCAGAAAGCGTCGAGCCCGCATTTGACGGCGGTAAACGTTGCAGACGCATTAACTGATGTGCGCCCGAATGCGGTTGTGCTAGAAAAGAGCGGCCAGGCTGAGCGGGATCTTGCGTTGACGGAAAGTGGTGCGTGGGCGAGCCTGGCGGCGAAGATGCATGGAGAAAAACAGCTCGTGGCCACGACGGGATCGCACATGGAAGAAACATTTGTGTACGACTTTTTGTCTCGAGCGTACCCGTTTCTTCACAAGTCCACACTGGCTTATCCAGATTACGGCCGCGTGCCCACGCCGCGCGCAGCTCGGAAAGGTCCAGTCGTGTCTTTGGCGACGTTTGCGCGGTGCATGAATCGGAGGATCGAGCAACAATATCGCGCAAACTGGTCGTACAACTACACTCTTTGGAATATGAATTTTCGGGATCAGCTGAATCGCAGCCGAATGGTGTACTCCTTGGCGTTGTCTCGTGAACGGGGCGAGGACGTAGCGGTGACTCCCACAACCGTAGCGCGGGCCAGCGAGGAGATCGTGAAGGCGCTGAAAGGGACGCACGTGACGCCAGACGGGCGACGCTTGCCTGTGCACGGCGACATCACGAAGGCCATCTACGCGCCTGGTCTAAGCGTGCTTGCGCGGCGATTGTTGTACAATGTGACAGCAGTATCGAAGGACATTGCTGGAACGCAGGAGATCCGACGACGCGCGAGATCAATAACGAATAGTGTTCGTACTGCGTACGGCTTGCCGACGTTCATGACGCTTACGTGCGATGAGAACCACAGCGCTATTATGGTGCGCATGGCCCGTCTGTTAGAAAGTGACCCTGCGTACAGATCTTTGTCGAGCGAGGACCAGAAGTGGTACGCGCGGTTGTCCCCGCCGCTGCATGGGTGGGAGACGTTGTCGGAAGATGAGGTGCCATCGTTTCGCGTCAGAAGACGAATGATGTGCAACAGCGCTGTGAGTGCTGTCGACGGGTTCAAAGTGCAGGCTCGCCTCGTGTTTAAACATCTGTACGGCATGCGCGTGTGCATGAACTGCCCGGATTGCGCTCAGACGGATCGGGGAGCAGAGTTTTGTGCGGATGCCGAAGGGTGCGTGACGGAAATGGAGGGCGGGTGTCTGGGCCGCATGTTGACCTTGGTGGGGACGTCGGAGTTTCAGAAGAAAAGGGACGAGCACATTCATTACCAAGGGTTTGTAGAGTGTTTGCACACGTCGAGGTCGTTGCACGACGTGGCTGAGGCAATGGTCGCGGAAGGTACTGACAT